TGTTTATTCTTACTAATACTTCCCTGAATGGGGCAGAAAAACTAATTACTTTTATTTACACAGTTTCATTAAAGAACAGAGTACTTCACAGCCAAGCTGAAGAAACAAATCACTGCTCCTGGGACAGTGCTGTCTGCAATGAATACAGCAGGGCAAGGAAGGACAATAGTCAATGGCAGAAGTGAGGTTATGGGAAGATGAAGGTTAGGGAAGTTTGGGAGATGATCTCTTCATCTTATCACTTTCTGGAGATGCTGAGTGGGAAACTGCCAAGATGGATGTGACCATTTGGGATTTGCCAAAACATGACATACAGTCCCAACCAACATTTCTGAGAGCAGAATTATCACTCACTATTTTTGCAGTAAAGAAATAAAGTAAATGATTACAGAGCAGCTTCCCACATTTTCTGCCCAGCTTTTTTTCCCTCTTGAAGTAGTAAAACTCATTCCCATGTGCAGTGTTAAAAAAATATTTTTAATCTCAGATACTGTATAAAAAGGTTGTTCTTCCCCTCATTTTGCCATTGAATACATTTTTTTTTCCTGCAGTTTATGCTAATTTTCAGCTTTTTTTTTTTTTTTTTTTTTTTTTTTAAGGAAAGAGGGTGAAATAGAAACGGGACAGTACTTCATGTTCACATTTGATCTACTGCATACCCTTGCAAGATAGTAATATACGAATCAAAATAAGAGACCCTCTAAATTCACACACACTTTTTAAAAAAAATTTTCACAGTGCTAAAAAAAATTAACTAAATAAAACCTTCTCTTTCCCTGTTCTTATTCCTAATTTTTCATCAGAATAAAATAATTATTATGAAAGATATAAGTTAACTAAACAACAAAAATATGGAATATTAACATTAAACTATTATTACACTGGTCAGTATAAAAACCCTTTGCTAATCAGTCTTGAAATCTGAACCCTAACAATTCCATTTGCAGAGGACACAATTCCTTCTTTTTCAAAATTACCAACTTCATCGAGCCAAAGAAAATCCACTTTTATAAGGCTACCTCTAATTGACATTGATGTATCACTACTGAGAGTTGAGCAGCACATGTCTGATTTCACATGGCTTGACCTCTTTTTCTTCTTCCCATGCCAAATGGAGCAATGTTTTCACAGCAAGAACAAACCTTAGAGTAAATGTCCTGCTCAGATCAGTTGGGTAAACATGGCAGGGAAGATTATTAGAACAGCTGACATTGGGACATATATGTGTACATATGTGTATAAAGTGAAGAGCGTGTGTGGCGAGCACGAAAAGTGGAGTGAGCACTGTACTCCTCCACAGAGTTCCATTGCCACCTACGCAGTCTGCTCTCAAACTGCGCGCAACGAACTGATGAAAAATATCACTGAAAATCACATAGTAGTGTGAAAAGTTTACTATCTTGTGGAGCTGCATTTCGAGCCACACAGGGGCACATGCAGCCCATGGGTGCTACATGTCTGGTCTAAACGTAAATGGTCCATAGTTTACAGTATTTCCTAAAAAGTAAAACAAGTTTAAAATCCTTTTAACATCGTTGACTGTAAGGCACAAAAGTGATGTAGAAGTTCAGTTCACAACCAAAACTGCTCTCTGCCTCTAGCTTCAGGGAAAGCAGTTGTTCTTCTGGTCTCTATATCATCCATATGACCAATAAAGAAAGAGGAGAGAAAATTATTCTGCGCAAGAATGTCCTAAAGACTTTTTAAACCAATGAAAACAATAACTGGGAGACCTATTGCATAAAGCAAAGAAACAAAGAAACAAACAAAACCATCAGAGAAACAGATATTTAGTTATATAGCTAAAAAATGAACTGACACACAAACTTCATAGAGAAACTGCGCTTTGGAGGAAGAAATATCAATTAAAAGACTTTCTTATGACAGCGACTGGCTTTGCCCCTTCAGTGAATTTTAAGACACGAGTGCCACATACAGAGCTCTCTGTTGCTATTAATAGCTCATTTATGAAAAAAAAATCTTAAAGACTTTCATTATGGAGCAACAAAGGGAAAAAAAAAAGGCTATGAAACAGTGGTTGAAAGGAGAGATTCAACTGTATAGCAAAAAAAAGACTTTTTTCTAGCATCCTACATATTTACGGCGTCATATAAAAATATTCACTGCCACAAGAACAATAATACTGGATTCCAGAATCTGTGGGTGTGCTAAAGTGATTCTTTGTTGTAATGATTGGCTTTGTATATTGGACACAAACCAGAAGAGGGAATTTATTTAATATAAGGAACAATATGCTGTATTATATATTCATGTACTGTAGAGAAACTTATGTTTGTGGTTGCAACAAACATGTCAAAATAATACATAAATCTGCTCTACGTAAAAGTAATTTCCCATTGTAATAAAGAAAAATATATATACAAGGGTGTACAAGAACATCTGTTTCCAAGAAAATTAGAGACAAGATAAAATAGATTTTTCCAGAAAAGGATAAAAAATGCTTTGCTTACAGGAAAAATCTAGAGAAGAAATAAAAACCTCTGAAATACTCTCTGCTCTCAGCTATTTCTTACACAGCAAGCCAATGCATAATTTGTTGAAAATCAGCTGGCTTAAATCATTCCTGAAATCAGACCTGAACACAAGATCAGCCATCAAAGCCAAGTTCAATTTCTGCTTATCACAAAACTGTCGCACCCGTGGCTTAAATGACTCACAACCCTGCGGGAGCATACTTCATACAGTCAGATTCAGGTTCAATAGGAAATCTTAAGTTTTCTTCAATGTGAATGCTGAAATGCACACAAACTGACACAGATTCATAAACAAACAAAATCCATCTTCAAAACTTGGACAGAAATACCTGCAAACTCAATAACTCAAGTCAATGTAATTCCTCTGTCACCGAATCTTTATTCAAATAAATGAGTAGTTAGCAAACATGAGATATTCAACCTGCTTTATTTTATACCTTTATAAAAGGTCCTCTCTGATGTTTCTGCCCTTCTGAAATGCTTCCTCATTTGCAATCTTCAACGCTGTCTGAATCTACCTACAGCACAATACTATCCAAGAGCCAGCACACCATGACAGAGGAAATACAATGAGAAAAGAAAGAACAGAAGGCGAAGGGAGAAACATCAACTTGAATTTTGAACACATATGCATACTTAACAGTTTTGTAATCGAGTGAAATAACTCCAGGTATTTATTCACTCTTCCTTGTTGGGATGTCCTCTAGGCTGTATTGCTTTTTTTCTCCCCTTTTAGTTTATCTTGGTATATTTTGATCTTGGAGTTCCTTGTTTATTGTTGGAATAGTCTGTCCGTCCTCCAAAATTCTTACTTATTTCCACAGAAATTAATATAATTTCTGCATAAGCTTCCTGACACTTCCTTTCCTACTCCCTACATAAAAAGGGATACACTCTGTTCCTTAAAACTCATTCTTCCAGTGCTGCACTGGTGAACCTCAGAGAGATGGAGATTAAGCACTCACCATTCACAAGAAGCAAGGCATGGAGCCTGCATAACATAACATCTGAATTTTCAAAGAACTAGAAATACAAGTTTCAAAAAGAGAAATCAGTTATGGGATTCTCTTTAGATTTTCCACAATTTCTTTCTAAATCACTTCAGATTTTCTCACTGAAATCTTTGCCTTGCAGACTTTATGGATGCTGCAAAATAACAGTAACTCAGCCATCAGTAACCGTTCTCACACCTGAACTGGAGACAGATTTTCCCATGTTACCTCCATTCACCTCTGGTGGTCAAAGCTGTTGTGGGAAAGCTTACACCACACAGCCATGCTAGAGTGTCCCAAGCCAGATCCGTATGAGCTGGTGTATTTACATGGAATTATTCACTGACTTACTGTTATTCTAGTTCAAACCCCAGAAGTAATACAGCCATCTGTGCCAGCTACAGAGGCCAAGTCCAGATGGGCCTGTACAACACATCATGTTTAAAAAGCCACCTCATTTCTCCAGCTTAATTACCCTTGTGTGGAACTACTATGTGCCTCCATCAGAAGAGATGCTATTATGTATCTGCTACCTGAAAGGTGTAATGTTTGGAAGAATAGAAACATTGGGAGCAAAACAGAAGGCAGACAGAACAAGATCTCACAGAGGAATTAGTGAAAAGATTGCATAACAGGAGCTTAAGCACAGTTTTAGACTGTTTTCATGAGCAAGCAGTGATACAGATCAGATTCTTTGCACGCATCAAACTTCGTATGTGTCATTTGCCATTAAAACCTATGTAGTAAGGAATGACTGAAAGCAAGGTTTGACTTTTGGTAAAAATCGGGAATGATCATTAAGTTTGGAAGTCAGTGACCCAAAGCCTCTCCTGTGCTCTGCTCGTGTCCACAGATGTTTTTTAACTGTACAGCAAATCCATAAATGCATAGCACTTGAACACAACAGCACTAGGTAGGCAGCATAAAACTGCTGTTAGGTTCACTGAACTAAAAGGGCTCTGTCCATGAAAGATGAAGGAAAAAATCCACAAAAGATCAAAGAAGCATTTATCTTCGTGACATCTCCTGTGTAGGAATAAGGTGGATTTTAAAATTGATCATGTAACACCATAGCATCAGAAAAAGGTGACCTCAAACACTAAAAAGGCAGTGTATGTAAAGCCAAGACTGATTCCCAGCTTGTGTAGACAACTACACATTTTAGAAACAATTTCTTTGAGGTCATATTCATATATCAATACAAAAATAAATTATAAGCATAACTTATTTGTAAACTCTTATTCCCATGCAGTTTAGAAAAAATTTAATAGTTACCATAACACTTTTGGTGAGAATTAGTGATTGGAGATATCAAAATGCTTTCAGAGAACCTTTCTGAAAATATCAAATGAATATTAAAGGTAAAAGAGTATAGAAAAAGCCAGCTACGAGACATTTTTACTTACGCTATATAGTTCTCTCATACCTAGAACAGCCAATGTAACTCACTAAATAAGAATAATAATTAAAAAATAGAGTTGTTACAGTAACAGATAAAGGAATGCACACTGTGTTAGTTATCAATGCTTTATTATTGAAAACAAAATTGAAATTCTCTTATCTGGCACATAAACAATTATTTCTACAAAAAGGAAAGCCTACAAATCTGATAATTTATACAAATAACAGTTTTTCAAAAAATAAAATTTTAATTTAGTAAACTTGTTTTGTGCTCTTTAATTTTTTAGCACTGTCTGCAATAATCCACCATAAATCCCTGAGCAGAGAGACATATTTTAAACATGTTCTAAATTCATCCGAAAAGAAGAAAGCTATCAAGCCCAGACCTATATTAAAAAAACATATTCAGGGACATTCTTGTTAAATTTATGCTAGTCCTTTTTTCTCTCTTTTCTTTTTTCTTAAGGAAACAAATAAGAGTTATGAATGCAAGCATGACACTGCATCATACGAGTGCTCCCCCCACCCCTATTTTGTGCAATGAAAAAAAGTTAATAAACAAGAATGAGTACAAATTGAAGGAAACATATAACATAGTGAATGGTTAAGACCAAGAAGCCATCAGAGTTTGATGGATGTTGAGTACAGTTTTATACTGAGTTCTATACATTTTCCAGAAAGTCAGTAAAGCAGGAAAATAAGTTCAAGCTACTATTGTGTTCTACCACTGGTTTCAATGATAAAGTACAAATTCAACTTCTGACCCTTGCATTTTGCTTTTCCAGCCATAACATTATTTGAGAAAAACTTGATACATTCGACAAAACTAAACAACCTTGCCCCTCTGGCCCTTATGGTAGGCCACTTGTGAACACAGCAATATGATACTTTAGTGAGCAAGAGGAAGGAAAACACACACTACTGCATTTTTACTATAGTGACTGAAACAGCTATTCCTCAGTCTGTTTCAGTACATATTTAAAATCCAAATATAATGGGACAATGATTGAGATGGTAGAGAAAAGTGTCCTCTTTCCCAACAAGGTAAACACGCTAACCGCACAAAAGATGTCAGGAAAGCCAAAGTAAAAAAACAAAGAAACAAACAAAAACAACACCAAAACTAAAAGACTATTGTGTTAATAGCAGGTAACATTGCTGTAGTCGAGTAATAAATAAATAAATACAGCAAAGTATTCTTCTCTATTGTTTTGTTGGAATGGTGCTTAACAGTTAGGAAGAAAAAAAAACAATCAGAAAACAACAAAATTTCCTCAGTAATTATGAGGTTTTAAAGAAGATCCTGAAAAAGCTTCAGTTCAAGGTGCTCTACCACTTTAACATGACGTCTACCATTATGAAATGAACATTGAAGCAGATATCAACAGGTCATTAAATGAAATAGTACATTTTCATAAAAGCAATAATACTTATTCCAAAGAAAGAGAGCAGATAACAAACGGCCTGGAAAAAAAGGATTGAATCTTCAATACACTGCAATTTAAAATAAATTATACGTACATTAATAAACCGAAGAATAAACCAGTAATTAGGTCAAATTGTTCTGAATCAGGAATAAGCAGAACCTCACCAGAAGCATACTTAGATATTTGACACCTTTGTTGCTAGTACATGTCAGAATACGAACAAAATTCTAGTATTTGGTTAGAATCTGAATAGGTAATATGTTTTTAAAACATTGCCACTACGAAAAGTAACTGGCAACCAGTTACACATTTATCTTTGTCTATGATGTTTTGGATATAATCTAATCCATTCCCTTGAGCTATTTTCTAGTCCCACAGACGTGTAACATTCCCTTCTCACTCAGTTGCTCATGAAGTCTGTGTAGAATATGCACAAACTAATATTTTCAAATCTCACTTGATGAGATATTGCAAAAATACTGGATGCAGAATCCAGTCACTCTTCTTTTTCTTAAGATGACATTCTGACCACATTCACTTGATACCAGGGCAAACATCAGTCTCACTTGTACTGCTACATCATGTCTTTTTCTTTTTTTCAGATTCTGCATACATGCATAATGTAGAATTTGGGCAATTGCTTGTTCATTCTGTCAAGCCCACAGCCATTTCACCATGTATTTCCAGAGAATTGCAACAAAACTTAAAGTAAGTTGAAATAATATGCATATTTGCAGCAAAAAAAAAAAATTTGAATGCCACCATCTAAACACAACAGGTTTTAGAAAGATAAAAATTGGCCTTATAAGCTGTGAATTGGTAAACAAGTGGTCTTAAAGTGAGATTCAGCAGCATTAAGACAAACTGCAAACACGCCAGATTTAGTACACATTTTAATGAGTTACAGTATTTTAATGAGTTATTAGTACCCACTTTCACTCCCATATGATTTAGTGTATACTGTACAAATTTCCATTAGTGTTTCTAGGACAGTATACCTTTCACAGAAGTGAGCAATACGGAATTTGCAATGATTTTTCAAATAGGCCAGGACACCCTCTTTCAAGTTCTGTGGTTCTAAATCTTTTTGTAGGCTAACATTGAAGTCCTTCATGAATATCTCCATCTCCCTTTCTGTTTTTTTTTTGTTTTGTTTTGTTTGTTTTTCTTTTTTTTTTTTTTTAATCTAATAGTAACAACAAAAAAGGCAAAAAGCAGAATAGCTTCTCCTAGCAGCAATCAAGACTTCCGATCCTTGCAGCCAAGTCTGATGAGTTCTCTGTTCAGACAACTGTATGAAAATTCTAGTTATAAACCAATTTAAGAAAAAAAGCTTAGAGTTTTCCACATCATGTCTTGGATGTCTTTAAACCTTGTTTCTCCATGATGTTCCACAATTTGCGAAGATTGGACTGAGTGATGACATCATCAGGTTTAAGTTGAAGAGCAAGGAGGTAGTTTTCTTCAGCCTCTTTCAGTTTACCATTCAGATGGAGAATGGCTCCAAGATTCATTAAGGCAGCTGGATACTGGTACAAAAAAGAAAATGGGAAGAAGAAATATTAAGAATATTTTCAGTTTTTCTTTTCAGACAATCTTCTTCCACTTAAACAAACTATTACCTTATGTTTACAGACTTTTCATGGAAGCAGTTTAGCAATTTAAGGAAATAGAGATAACAAGAAAAGGTTTCTGAACAGCTGTTGCATACTCTGTGCTTAAAACGGCAAATTCTGGTGTCTACAGGCATAGACTTCTCCCTTTAATGAGAAAGCACAGACCTCATCAAGCTTTTCATGTGGTAATGTCGGCATAGCACAGTTTCCAAGAGAAAATTAAAGTAGTCCAAGAATGGATTAAAGACAGGAATTTAATTTTGATTCAACCCATTGCCAATAAAGAATTTATAATTAGTGGGGATAGTTAACACATTGGAACACATCCCTTTTTTCTCTGTCTTAATTATAACTAGTAGAAGAGACAATCTGTTCTCAGATTATAAGGATGTTCAGGAGTTCTAGGATATCCATTTAGATTAAGGCTGTGGCATTTACTTCTTAACGAATGACCAAACAAAATTTATATTGGTGGAAACATTATTTTAATAACAAATGTGAAAAACTTACAACAAATCCACAAAACTACACTAATACAAATTCCATCTTCAGCTAAAAGAAAATATTTCTTGTTTTCATTTTTTAATCTCAAGATTATTCCACTATGAAATAAAAAGCTCTTCATGATAATTAAATATGTTTAGATATCACTCACCAGGACTCAAGATTTGATGCCCCATGGAAACTCAGCTAGAGAGTGTTATGGGTGGGGATGCAAAATGTTCTAAAAGGCCTGCAGTGACAGTAACTTCAGGAAAATATGGTAGCCAGAAGGTCAGTAAAATACGCAGTAGGGATGGTCTCCCAGACCAGGAAGTCAACTAGATGAAGAAGACTTGCCTACATTCCAAACATATTCACCACCACATTAAACTCATTACTTTTATCCTTGTGATTCAGGCCTCATAAATAAAGAAATCTTATGTCCAAAACCTAAATTTTGCAGTGGAAATCCTGCTCAAAAAATACTTGATTTTTATATCCAACAAATATGTCATATTTTCTCACCTTTCTTCCTGCTTCTTTTCTTCTATTAAGATACGCATCATAAGAACTGACAAGGACAACAATGCATCAAGTTTTTAGAACAACTGGCTTCCAAAGTTCCAAAACTGAGCAAACCAAATTAAGATTAACTGTCCCCGTGTAAACACCTGAAGGTATTATTTTTAGATTTAATTTTTCTTGGTTAACTCTGATAGATTAATTCCCCTCACCCCAACTCAGATGTTTGTTTCCACTTAAACAAAACCAAAACTAAAAAACAAAACAAACAAAAAAAAAACAAAAAAAAAACAAAAAAAACTACAGACACACACACACACACACACACAAAAAAAAAAAAAAAAAAAAAAAAAAAAAAAAAACCAGCAAAAGAAACTAAAACAAATCCCCAGCTGAATTTTACAAAGTATTTATTACTCTCCAAATCTTTTTCTTCAGTCACATGCTATATAGAGAAGGAAAACTATTCCCTTGAAATGTTAGCTTTTGCTAGAGAAAACATATATTAGAAGCCACATTATCACAGTTACCCCTTCTCAGTGTCAGCATTATATACTATTTTACAAAGAAGTAACATTCTTCTTAATTATAGAAGTTCTAAGTGCTGACTGAAGTACTACAAATGAAGAATCATATGCAAACAGCTTCACTGCAAATGGACGATTGCCTAAATATCTATATATTTTATTTATTCATTTAATTTTAGACTGGAGATTGTTTGAGATAATTTTCTGTATTTATTCTAAGTTGGATGGTCCATACTCTCTAACTGTGCTACTTGTTTGTCTGATTAAAGCTTGTGAATCAAATAGCTTCTTTCAAGACCTCCATTACTGACATAGAACTGTCTTTATTCTCAAAGTATAATTTGCTCCAGATGTAGATGGTAGACAAAGCTTGCAATAGATAAAAATTAACAGAACATATACCTAGAATAACCCATATTACATAAGACACACTTTTGAATTGTCCATTTCTAATTCTTTAACATTCACAAAGTTACTGAGAAGTAAAACAGTTTTCTCATATGGTTTCCAGAATTTGTCTCAATTTCCTTCACACAACACTGAAGACATGGTATGTGTATGGTACTAATCAAGTACTCTAAATAAAGTATTATATATGACTGTACACCTACATAAGAAAACTCTCTTGCCATGTATTTATCATCTTACTAGGGCAAGCAACAAAAACATCTAAAAGAATGAACTGTATGCCTTTTAACTGAATATGAAATTTTTCAGCTTCTATGTATCACCTCTGAATTCCCAGAGGCCCAGCAAATTTTGGGCCATTAATATTCTATGAAAATGTATCCATGCAAGTAGATAGTGACAAAAGCTCACATGATCTCCTTCATGCTTCAGGTGAGGACGTGCATAGGATAGCTGAAAGACTGCTCTCTGACTTTTTAGAGCATCTGTCACCCCAGTATGTACAGTTTATTGTCAGTCACAAGAATCACATTCTTTTCACCAGAACATGAAAGATTACACATCAGTGTCATCACTCCCTGACAGCTATGTATGACGGTCTGAGGAAAGAGAGAAAGAGACATTTGCTATAGTTTTTCTTCACATATATATTCTTTTATTAAACACAGCTGATAAAACTTTCCAGTATGTTAACAAAGACCGTTGGCAGCTACCAGTGCAATAACAAGAGACTTGTAGCACTGTATAGCAAATGACACCACCTACTACTTCAGAGACTTGAAAGGAGAAACAGTCCTTCCTTCATTTCCTTTTGGAGACAGATGCTTTACATCAAAAAGCTGACTGGCATTTCTATCATGGTTATAAATGCTGTCTTTCATGTTCTATTGGGAATGATTTCCTTTATTAGCATTTTTATTGTGGTATGCTCGTTTCCTTAGTGGGTTTTTGTGGGAGTAGAGTCGGGGGCTGAAAGGAAAGAAATAATGGAGCAATTAATGAATAACAAAATAACAAAAGGCATGCACTTAGTTGCCTGAGGTGGTTTTGGTTCACATTGATGACAATTCTTTCAAACTTTCTCCACAACACCAAAATAAAAGGAGAGCCTAGGGGCACGAAAAATTTTTTAACATCAATTAAACTGTTCTGTAAAATGCACTGTGGAATCCCTAAATAAATCAAAATCATTCTACGTAGTACTTCAGGATTATCTTAATGTAACCAAGTATTGGAGCCACCAACATAATGAATATTAGCAACACAGTAGGTATAGTGATATCTTGTTCATCTCAGGCTCCATGTATAAAAATATTAGAAGAAAAGTCCCAAACAGAAGAAGATAATTTTATTGTTACATAAGCCTAAGGAGTTATATAGAGAGAAATAAAGAAATACAAACAACCTATTTAAAAAGGGCTTTTGAATGGCAAATAGCTATATCAAAGAACAGCCCAAAAGTGACCAATGAAATTGGAATATCTTTTCCCCAAAGTTGATCTTACAGATGATATTAATTGCTTGACACTACGAGGTCAGAGTGACAGACTCTGAGATGGAAATGCATTTTGTTGCTGCTGGAGTACTTTTAATGAAAGTCATGCCAGTTTATACTCCACTAGAATTGCAACTGCAAGCTAGTTCTCACTAAGCAATTTTCAAAGGTCATTGAAAAGATGTTGCCAACATTTCTCTTGCTCTTAATGAATTACTGCAGTGCATAATCATGTAGATGTTTCAAAACAAACCCAGGACTGTTTAATGAATTCTGTAATCAGCATGGCAAACTTATCAAAAACACAAAGGTTAACTGCTTTGTTTTAACAGTGCAATTAAGGATCCTTGTTCTTTTAAGTACTTAGAGAAAGACAGTAAATGTCACATGTATTTCATCACATCACTTTTGTGTAAAAAGTAACGAAGTAAAATATTTCTCTTTAATAACTGAAGATACATGGGCGATACAAAAAGTAATGAAGTATGCTTCATAAAGGATGAAAGCAAAGCATGGTGGACTGCCTCATCTTATCAATAATCATAATGCTTTATTTATCTTCCCACTGTGATAGCAAGAATTTTTACTCAAATTTTTATTATTGGCGTTAATGCTGTAGCAAAGTATAGTATTTTCTGAAGCAAATCTGAATGCAATCAAAATGTCATCAGCTCCTTTTTTATTGCTAAAGATAACTGTGAACTACTGAATAATTTCAGGGCATGGCACTTACTTTTGACAGACCGCAAAACATCTGACTGAAACCATGACCTACAGGTTGTCCAAGATGTAAGCATACAACCTTAAAGTATGTGAGGGAAAGAAGGACAAGAAAGGACATATCCACAGAGATGGCGTCTGCCAAGCAGATCTTAATCCCCAGTGTTGTTTCACTAATACTACTATAAATTTAGCAAAGAGACTGATACATGGAAGCAGACCTTTTCATAGAGGTAATCAATGTGTTGCCAGATAAGCCAAGTAACAGTTGCTGCTTCCAGATAGTCATGTTTTTTACCTGGTTCTCTATGCTATAAGGCTGCTGAATCTCTTAAGAAGTGGAGTTTGCATATACTGCCACTGGTATTTTCTTCCAAAAAGCACATGAATCCTCACTAAAGCACTATCACCAGAGAATTGCTTAAGATGGCAACAGTAAATTGTCTAGGATTTGATTACTTAGTGGAAAAGGCATTCTGAAAAAAGATGACAGGATGTATGTCAAAACATTATGGATCAGAGAGAATAAAAAAGCATAAAATTCACAGCTGAGAGGGATTTCCTGTGTCATCAGCCAGACTGCAAAGCATTCAGTTCTGCTGTAAAATAAAAACATCAGCATCTTTGCAAACTCCTTCTTAAAATGGAAGAATGCTTTTCAACTCCTTTATGGAAGTTAAGTATGTATTTAATTGCAAGTCTGCCTGTGAATGATTTCTGCAAGTAAGTTTTTGTGTTGACAACTACCTTCAGCTTAA